CCTGGCAAGAAGGCGGCCTGTTCCACGTCTTGATGGAAATTTTCAGGGGTCTTGTTCAGGACCAGTTTATCAAATTCTTGCAACTGGGCACGTCGTCAGTGGACTTGGACCTCTTGACGGTTCTGAGGGCTAGGAAAACCCACTGGGAACTGCTTCTTCGACCAGACTTTGGTGACGTCGAATGGGTCAAATCCGAGCTTGGTTGGGTCGGCGTCTTCGGGCTGCATGATCTGGAAATATGCAGCCGAGGTGATCTCTTCACCTCTCTAGATGGCTTGCCAAAGGTCGTGTTTGGACCAGTCCGGATCTGCACCGCCGTGAACTGCCTTTGGCCATTGTCTGCGATGAAGTGGTATTTGATATATACAAATGTACCGTCTTTGTTTCCCTTCGTAGTAATTGTCAGCATTGACTTACTATACCACGCAAATGGAGGTTTACCATTTGAAGGTATGGCAGCCATATCCATGGTTGTTCCGCCATCCGGACGGTGTGCCGTGGTTGCTAAAGAACATCAGCCCGGCGTGATTACTAACATCGAGTCAGCCGCATTCTTTCAAGGTCGAGAAGAAATACTTACCCTTCACGCGTATTGGAAAGAAGGTCAAAAAGTGAATTATGATCAGGTAGGAAATTCTGCGGGCTATAGGCCTGGGAACAGATCACGTCGACCCTGAATGGGATCTCGGCAGAAGAACACAGGCTAAACGCAGACAGGTTAGCGATATGTCGAGGTTTCTCATGTGTTGAAGTAAGTCTTACAAAGTTCAAGCCCACGATATCGTAGATTCCCTCTCCCGTGTAGAACTTGATGGCGAAACCTCGCGGGTTTCTCGCCAGGTCCGGGAACACTTCGGCCTAGAGTGATTGTTGAAAAACGTACGAAACAGGCGTCGTCCTCACTCCAGGTGATCTCAGAAAGTCGGCCTATCGCAATCAATTAATTCCTTATCCTTGAAATGGCTAGTTAGCTAGACATCCCTTGGTAAGCGAGGAGACATCCTTCGTTGTCTCGAAGTATCCAAATGTTCCCACTACCACCTACTCCAAGTTAGTCCGCACGTACAATAAAAGTGGGAGCGAAAGAACTAACAAGGGTAGACCATTCGCTCCAAATCCTTAGAGCGATTAGAGTGCTGCTGCTTCTGCAGGAGGTGTATATCAGACACCAATGGCAATCCACCGACCATTTCACTATGAGCCGGGTCGGGAAAAGGAATAGCCTCGTTGTTGGTGAAGTAAGGGCCATCATCACCTCTTTCCCGCAACTTTGAACACCCGTTAACTTGGCTGCCGTTCTAGCGGGGCCGTCGTTTGGCCCTCTGGAATAGAGAGTTCAATAGTTTGATGCGTGGGTCGGCTCCCACCGCACCGACCGCTTCTCCTATGGCTTGCAATGGATGTGATGCCATCATTTGGATGTATGTGAGGAATTTAGAGATACAATTAAATTGAAGGTTCTGGAGTTATCCAAACTGCCTGTACGAATATGTATCGTGTTCTTACATCCACAAGGTCATCATTTAGGCGTTGACATTGATCACGTCACGCCGAGAAAATAGCAGAGGCAAGTACGACATTGGGAAGTAGAAGCTCTCGGGCTGGGCCATGAAAGATTAATCGCAAAAGCCGGTTGTTGAAAGCTAATTGCTGACGCAAATTAATGGAACGAATTTTATTGGCGGGTTCGTGCTCATCAACAAGGTGGAAACTAAGTGTCATAGTGACCGACATTGAACTATGGGTGAATATTCCCCAGCTTGCCATGGGAGATTCGGGTTGTCTGAACAAAAGGTGAACTAACCATTGGTGGATCAAGGCTATTATCAGAGGCTCGCCGGTTTCATGTCATATTTACCCATGAATGACGCCGTAAATCATACGGACCATCATTATAAACTGGTCGCCTCCCATTCGCCGTTAGAAGTGATTTCGTGCACAGTTGCCTATTTACTAACTTACAGTACAATTCAACATACCTACTCAACTGATTCGCAACGGAGCCGAACGATATGATTTTATCTCGTACTGGATTGAGGACCTTTAGGGCATCTACGTCCCTACACCATCTCCACGGGACCTCTCTCGCCAGCACAAGATACTTTAGCATCACCTCACCAGTAGCAACCCGCATTTCCGAGTTGATCAAGAATGACCACCGAGAACTTGAAAACGCATACAACAAAATCCTCAGTGCCACGAACCGCGACGAACAGGAACGATGGCAAAACCAATTCACGTGGGAGCTTGCCCGCCACTCCATTGGTGAAGAGCTCGTCGTCTACCCATCAATGGAAAAGCATCTCAACAACGGGAGAGTAATGGCCGATCAAGACCGTCAGGAACATCAGGTAGTAAGTTCTCCATATCCCCCACCCAAGCCACGGTTCTTGATACAGCGTCCTCACATATTCTCGACAACCCTAGGTGAAAGAGCACCTATACGAATTTCAAGGTCTTCGCCCAGAGGAAGAAGCATTTATCCCAACTCTTAAGACTCTGTGGGGCCATCTTGAGCAGCACATCAAGGAAGAAGAGACCAACGATCTCCCTTCTTTGGAGAAAACACTAGACGAGACAGAGTCGGACCAGATGGCTGCTTCCTTCGGCCGGACTAAGAAGTTCATCCCGACTAGGAGTCATCCATCGGCTCCTGACAAACCACCTTATGAGACTGTGGCGGGATTGATGTCTGCGCCTATGGATCGATTGGGTGATATGCTGAGGAAGTTCCCAGATGAGGCTCGTGCTTGATAACAGTGATCTTTCGATAAGAAAAATTGTACGTAAATGTATTATTATTCTACTTTCCGGTCCGGTATATAGGATGTTCTGAAATAAATATTTTTCTGAGGGGTTCCACCACAGGTTTTATTGAAGTTGTGTGCATAAACATGGCTTCCAAATTGAACGTCTGTGAACTACCAAAAGTCTAGTGGGCCTTTGGTCCTACTTAAATAAGATCAACATATACATAGGTCTATAAAAAGATGGGTCATACTCTACCCCAATCTAATCGTTCAGTCACATCAGCAATAACCCCTTACCCTCCGCTCCAACATCCTCAGTATTCTTAGTCCGAGCCTCTTCCATCAGTCGCTCTTGTTGACCATCGCCCTTAGACCGATAGCAAACCGCAACAATAAGAGCAGCCATTATTGCCAGGGATGGTTAACTCGGGTTGGTCTCTTCTCGGTGGAACGTTCATTGACGAGCCACTTGATTAATGAGCAAGTCTGAAAGTATGTCTTGTCCCACCATGTGTTATTAGAAATGTCAAAAAAAAAAAACGGTCATTCTATATCCCTCTCGCTGTACGCCTTTCAAATGCATAACAAAGGGGTCATATGCATGTATGTACATTCGAATACCTTGTTCAAGGAAGAGTATAGCCCCCATCTACCACAAGGTCAGCTCCAGTTGTATAACTTGAAGCATCCGAAGCCAGGTACAGGTAAGCCCCCTTGAGTTCATGCGGTAGGCCTTCACGACCCATCGGGATCTTGTCTTTCCATATGTTTTTCGTCTCATCAGGAACAAACGTAGATATATCAGTAACAATATACCCAGGTGAAACTGTATTGGCGCGCGCGAATCGTACCCATTCCACCGCAAGCGATTTGCCTGTCAGAAGTTAGCTGACATGTCAAGATACCAAATTTCCTCTCAAACCAGAAATATCAACATACATAAGTGAATAACCCCCGCTTTGGCGGCATTATAGGCAGCCTGCAATTGGGGAATATTGACAACATGGCCACTCATAGAAGCAGTGGCAACAAAACTGCCGTAGGTAAAGCCTTGAAGAGGGTTACCAAAGATATCTGTACCCTCTTCCTTCTGTCTTCTCCAATGGGAACCAGCCGCCCTTGCACAATAAAACGTCCCATCCAAGTCTGTTTGGGTTACGTCCGAGTAATGGCCAAGAGGAGCATCTATCATCGGACCCTGCGTCCACGGGATGCCTGAGTTGGCGACGAAAACATCTAGGCGGCCGTTGAAGTCACGAACGCAGACACCTAGTAGTTCTTCCACCCTCTTGCTTTCGCGAGTGTTGATCTGGTATGCCCGGCCTAATATACAATTAGTCCTCGCGGAAGTTGTGGAAGACGCATATATGAAAAGCACGGGCAACATACACTTGACGCCGTATTTTGCCTCGAGGTTTGCGGCTTCTGTGATAGCTTTGGTGTTTTTGTTATACCAAATAGCAACGTTGGCACCGGCTTCTGCCAGAGCATGTGCGACGTTCAGTCCGATACCTGACGCTGCGCCAGTGACGACGGCAGTTTTTCCCTTGAGCGAGAATAAATCCAGCACACTGGTCTGTGCTGGAGGTGTGTTGTTATCATGGCGAAATACGCCATTTACTACCGGGCTTTCGGACATTGGATTGATTTCTCGGGTTTTTGTCACTGTGACAATATGCTTTGAGGAGAGAAAAGAATTACATTTTTATGTGAGATACAGCCACGGCATGCCGAATTATATACCAGCATCCAGTCCAGATACGCTAGAGAACGTATGGACTTGTGCCCCTATGCCCCACCGTAGTGAATATATCAATCTAATATATGTTGACTACGGATTTAATATAACCTGAACTCCGGCGGAAGTGTCCAAACAACGAGTTGGATCAAAGGCTCTGGCACGATTTACCAAGGAATAAATAGTAAGTAGGTTAATCTACATCCAAATATGCAGCAATAGAATCCTCAGCCTCCATCGATTGTATGGCTTTTACTTCGTAAGACAATGTGAAGCATGAAAATGCGTCTACATACCATACAACAAGTACCGCATTACATTGAACCAGCAGATGACTCGCGATCGGTTCCGGTTTTCTTTTCCGGCGGATGCTCGCGAACAGTTGCTCGTGAATTGACTCTCCATATGGCATAGTGCGGTGGATCTCTTGCTTCCGTGTTTATGTGGGTAAAAAAGGAGAGCGAACAGTACCCTGATTGACGATGGAAAAAAACAAAAAGTTCAAAAAACGAAGCCGAACGCGGGGGTCGAACCCGCAACCTTGAGATACCGTGAGGACTAAGAGTCTCACGCTCTACCGATTGAGCTAGCCCGGCTGGTGTTGAAAGATGTCGGAGATATATAGTTACATGAGGCTGAGCGGTAAGTCATACATCCGCTGACCTAGACAACTGTTCTTTTCCACCTCTCACTATTATGCAGGCTAACAGGTCATGAGAAGATTACAAATGATGTATAAGAAATATATAGCATTAGAGATTTTGCAGAGAGTATTAGGAGGCAAAGAAAATGCTTGTGGAATTTGCTAAACATGACTGAGCTTGCGCCTCTTTGACCCCTGCATAGATTTGTATCATTGAACTAAGGTACTACCAACCTGGACATTTGATTTACAGGACCGCCATTACCTAAAATAAAAGATATGCAGAAACTAAATATTATGTAGGAATCGCAAAGTAACCAATCTCAAAATGTCTTGCAGCTTACCAATTATTTGCAAAGGGTTTGTTGGTATTAAATGAGGGTCGCCGTCGGGCGGTATCGCGGATGACCTCTACCAGGTTCTGGCATCCTAACTCACTTTATATCAAATACCGACCCCCCTTGTGTATCGCCACGGGCTTACTTACCAAATGGGCTAGTGAACTCTGCCAACAAGGATTCCTTGTGTTTGGTGACCAGCAGGTTCAAATTTGCTAAAGCCATCAGTGGATGATACTGTCAGGCGTCTGACCTTTGGGTATCTCATCGACTATGTAGAACACACTCAAGTTACTACTGATATTGACCTTGACAGACTAGAAGAAACTCCCCCTGGATTACTACAACATGGTCGCAACGTCAAGCTCACGCCTTAGAACTAAGACCTGATGCTTGTTAACCACAACGAATTCTCGCCTTGCCGGAATGTCCTCAATCAAAAAGTCGCGGTTACATCCCATTCCACTCTGATAGAAGTAAAAAATGCCGTCGTGCCCTTTGTTTGACTGCATGCATTGCCTCACGTCACACTGCATACCCAGAGATCGCGAACTAAAAATAGAATAAGATTTCAGTGACGCCGATAACTTGGGATATCCTAGCAGAGATATGTTCGAAGTCGGGCAGTTTGAGCTCATGGAGCCATTGTTTATTTGGCGGCGGATTGGCAGCCTCCCAAACCATCAGCTTCGATCGCGGATTATTCTGACGATGAGAGTTTGGTTCCATGAGGGTTGCAATCAACTAGCTGGACCCCGGAGGATTTGCTGGTCGCGTGTTGTGGCAGAGGCCAGTATTTCATCCATTATCTGATTAATCTCCCCTGGGGTACTATTCTATGAGTGAACACTGACATCGTTGTAACCAATGGTCACAAATAGCTCTGGCCGAAAATTGTGATTAATGATCTTATGATCACCCTGGGATTCGTGTAGAACTATTTCTGTGTTTGTCCGGGCACCAAAAGTCATCCACATTCGCATTGAGTGCCTACCTCGGACGAGTAGCTTTGCGCCACTATTGTTAAGAAGAAGACCAAGGACAGAATCTCCAGTATGCAACTAACTGGCTGTAGAGACTAGTTTGCCACCCACGGACGTGTCTTGGACAGCGGTAACCATAACATGACTGGATTCGTCAGCCTTGACCACTATTCCTCCGTTTTCGTTGTAGGCAACACTAGTAACTTTAACGTTCAGCGCATGCCTATAGAGGATGTTGCCGTGAGTAGCACTCTGGACGTCGAAGTACGTGACAATTCCATCTTGCTTCCCATAAAAAAGGTACTTCCCGCCTGGATGAGGGCATGCGGCTCTGATTTCAGGATCTAATGGGCCTTCAAGCATGTCTACTGATCTGGGTTTTAACGTCACCGCTTGACTAAACTCACTCTGACTACCCTCATCATGGCCATTGCTGACAAGCACCTTTGGTTCCCATATCCGATATTGGGAGCCTCAGATATCAGTGAATCGCAGACTATCGCCGCTAGGTGCTATCCCATGAACACTATCCTCAAACGCATTGATACGATAAACCAATGCTAGTTTGTAACACGAGCCCCCGCAAAGTCAAAAATGTGAATAGCCCCTTGCGAGCTACCAGTACCAAGTGTTCGACCGACGGGGGAACAGGCAAGAGTATAGGCAAAGACATCTTCAATCCGGCAGCAAAGCTCAGTGGTCCACAGATCGTAGACTACAAGCTCTCCATCTACGTAGGGTACCATCAGGACATTGATTTCCGGACTTGGATCGAATGCTAATACATTGATCACATTGTCGGTCCCTGACCCCGTAGCACCTTCTCTGCTGCAGGATCCGACTAGAGCCTCTGCCTTCATATTGAACAAGTATACAGGCCTTCCTCTATAGCTGACTGCCAGGACGGAGCAATCCTCTGAGAAGAGTGCCTTCCATGGAGGCTGGCTCGGTTTGAAGTGACTAGTCATTTCTTGAAAGGCGTGAACCTACGGCCAACTGTCTTCATCATATTGACTATCCTGAAGGCACCACGAAATTGAATAATTTCCCTGAGTTGCGGCAACTAGTGACATGCCATCGCTGCTGAATGCAAGAATCAAAGGTAGGTGTTGGACTTCGAAGTTCCACATCTGTTTTTGTGTCTGCAGATCCCAGATATTCACCCTGCGTAAACCACTGGAGACAAGGTATAGATAATTACTGCTAAAAAGGAGTAATCTAACCCGCTCCCTTTGCCTCCGTTGAACCTCCAAGGTAAAGAAACACCGACCCATCTGAAACGGCGACGGCCGAGTAACAATCACCATGAGCACCTGCACTTGTGCGTACAGCTGTGTAATCAATTCGAGCCAAGCACTCGTTCCAGTTGTTTTGTTCCAGGCTCTTGATAAGAATTCCACGGGGGCGAGCGGCATAGAGACTTGATTTCATGGGTTCCGAGGGCAAAGAGGTGGAATCATGTTATGGATCGCTGATGGGCAGCTGACCAAAGCGCTACGGAATTTTGCGTTTAACCTTATCAAATCGTCGATCCATGCTTTCGAATTCCCTTTTTGGTTAGAGAAGGGCTTCATATGCTTCTGTCGACGCATCAAGTACGATTTGAGATTTTTGGCTGTATGAGTGACTTGCTGCAGCATGCCTGTTTAGGCGAGATATGCAATGCATATTAAAAACTCAGCCAGCAAGTCCCAAACACTAAGGCTGTCTGAGGCACATCTGTGTACATGATCGGAAAAATACACTGCGGCGTTTAATGGCTTGGGCTGGGTTGTGGACGGCCTAACTCATGTCTATCTTGTTGGCGTGTCTCAAGTCGTCTAAGGTAAACAGTCGCATTGCTAACAAGGTCCAAACGAAGATAGATCGCGCCAATCTCTGGCTCTTCAGAATATACTCTCTCGAGCTCTCGAGCTACAAGCGGCGTCCACAAAAAAGAGCCATTGGCCTTCCCGAGAATCCTGGCTCGAAGGTCATTCCCCACGGGAAGGTAATGTGCCCTTGAGTGGATGAATATCGCTAGATCACTAAATGTATCTTGACTTGCACGGAATAGTGCTCAATAATTGAGATATGAGAAACAAGGCATTGATGCACTTTCGTGGTATTACGGCTAGTAAGGAAAATCCTCAATTATGGAGGTGCTTTAGCGAGCAGCGAAAACAGGTATCTACGGCATTCGTCCAGTGCATCAATAACCCAGCAGCGTGACTCAGCGTTGGACTCTCTGAGGATGGAACAGAGAAACACCTTACGCCACAATGTTCTCTCATCTAATTGTGTCCATGTTTCGGACCCTTGGGATAGTTGGGTTGGTCGTCCAAGGATTTGCTCATCATTCTGACCCACCTGGAAGGCAAGTGATAGCAGACACCCCATGATAGACGATTTGGGTGGAATCCCTTGCTTGAAGAAGAAATAGTTGCATTGAACCTTATTCTCCTCAAGACCGTTGATGACATAGCTCGAAAGAACTGATTTTCCGGAATCTGCATCTCTGGTAAGCCAAAATATGGGTCCGACTAAGCGTGTAGGATGTTTTCCACGTCGTATACCCGTCCCTCGAGTCCAGCCATTGACATGGCCCGGGTACACGAGGTTCCTCTAACTCAAGGAGGTCGTCGGTAGAAGGCTCGTTGACGCCGGACATTTCAATTAGCTTGGAATATTTGATCTTAATGGCCTCAGAGGCTGCCTGGGAGACTGACACGATATCAGGTAATGACCACATCAGACGACCAAAAGTGACTTACCATCGGCGAGAATAGAATCAACGGTGGTTATAGGGTGTTTTGTAGTTTGGTTCAGTGGGACTGCCAAATTTGCAAATTCCGCAATGGTCGGAATTCAATAGGGAGCACCGTCCCTTTAGGAAGCCCAAGAGTAGCCGAGACTCTGTCGACGATGATACAGTTGGCAAAAAGTATACTGCACGGAACTGTCTCATAAAAGGATCAAAGCTGAAGGTCATCTGCAAAATATCGAAAGCTATCGTTGATTGATTGAATCGAGTGAGTTGCGTTCTAAGTCCAACACAAACGGCTTTTGCCCAAAGGATACCTTCAGTATGTTGAGCAACGTCTTCGCCAGGTCGGATTCACGATGGGGAGTTGCTAGAAAATAGAGTGTATGGATCCTGTACGCGACGTCTCTCAAAGTAGGGTCTTCTCGAGCTAAGGTATACGCCTACAGAGAAGTGAGCCCCATCTAGGCTCCAATGGTAAAATATGAATCCAAGATATTTGCCTTTTTTGTAACAATGACACCCATACTATGTGAAACAAGCACAATCTTTGTCTAGAGTTCTGTCAGAATGAATGTGGAAGATAGGCGTCCATAAAGTCACATTGCTTCGACGAATATCGGGGTCGCATTGGATTTCTCCAAGCTAGGACAGTGAAGGGTCATGAATGTTTAACAAACTAGCTTTCTTTTCTGCCTAGTCGGCTTTGTATCTAAAGCTATGGACACGCACATATTTGAACTCTGGATCCCGCGATAATCGCTCTTTCGGCCAAAAGTGATATGGATCCGATGTTTTGGACCATATCTTCCGGAGCCCTACTCCAGGCCATGAACGAAGATGAAGCCAATCAGAGGTTCTGGCACGGTATGAAGTAGGTTCAATCCTA